AGTCAATTTTTTTCTGTATTTATTTACAATTATTTTATTTAAGTAATATTTTTGAGTGTGTGTTTTTTAATATAAATAATTCGATATTAAAACTTGTCATTATTTAACACTCATTTTATTTAGTTAAAACATTTTTTTTTTCAAAATTTGCAGAAAAACAAATAGAATTGGAAAATTTATCATTATATTTTACTAAGTTATACCTGCCATGCATATATGAAAAAATACTTTGGTTAAATTAATTTAAATAATTTGATTAAATTAATGATTATTTTATTAAATACAAGGAGTGTCTGCAGAGAGCATCAACATTTTCAAAATGAAGCCAATAATTGCGTAACAAGGATATATAATTAATTGAAAATAACAACTTCTTATGTTCTTTAAAAGTACTTTGTACAAAATGTAAACATAGCAAAACTTTGATTAAAGTTTTCTTCTTAAAATTTAAATAAGAAAGATATAAAATTCGAAACGTGAGCGGTGCGCACGCGTCTGATATCTTCGTAATTTTAAAAATTATATTCATAAAATAAGTTATTCTCTTTCAGCCTTTTTATCAATTAAAACAAGGAAAACAATATTCTCAATTAAATGATAAAAAACAAATTGGAAATCTCAAAGCCAACTAAGTACAAAAACTGATTAACATGCGTAACTTCTTATCCCGCTCAGTCATATCGTTATACGTATAAAAAAGCTGGACATTTTATATATATTTTAGGCTCTTGCAGTAGTGATATAGAGATATCAACAAATACACAATTGTATTCGCATATATATTTAAAAAATCGGAACCCATGCCTAGACCCCGTTTTTTTTGAGAACGGGTGCAGCTGCACTCATGCGCTGGGGTTAATCTGGTATTAATGCTCAGTAAAGCTATTTTGATAAAACTTAAATATTAAAATAAAAAGATTTTTGGCTGTTGTGCGCCCCTATGCCAGCTATAAATAGATATTGCAGATACATCTATCTATTTAAAACAGAAAAGATAAGTATTTCTCCTTTTGGCACTAGGTACCAGCAAAAAACAAAGCATTTTAGCGGTCAATTACTTTATCTGCATTAAGTTAAAGTTTTCATGCTAAAAAGATTAATTTTTTTTTTATAACTTAGAAACAAATCTTAAAAAATGTTATGTTAATTGTCTAAACCCAAATAAGTTGCAACATTTAATACTATGTTTTTTCATAAATGTCATAAATAAGTTTTAATTTAAGCAAACCGTGAAGCAGCCGTCGTGCAGTGGTAGCGCACTTGCCTCAGAAACGTAAGACCCGTAGTTCAATCCCCAAGCTTTGCAATACCGGTTGGGAAGGAAGCGTGAACTTCGAAGCCTTCTTCAAAAAAAACTTCGAAGTGAACTTCGAAGAACTTCTTCAAAAAAAAGCATTAATAGGAATTCCTATTAATGTTTTTTTTTGCGGTGCTCTGTGATAAGACAGTAAGGACTTCTTGGGGCACCTAAATCAATTAAAAAAAAAAAAAAATTAAGTTAATCTATAGTCACTTTTATTTAAAAAACTACCCATTTTTACAGGACCTAAACATGTTAAAAAAATATAAAAATCAATAGATAAATTTTTTAAGTTATATTATATATGAAAATATGCGGTAAAATGTTTTACACCAATTCTCGCTTAAAATATTCATTAATTATAACTCACTCTAGTTTATATTTCATAGTGAATTATTAATAAAAAAAATTAATTTAAAATAAGATAGGATCAGGAAGACTTGCAACTTTCAAATTTTAAGTTTCTTTATTCAGTAATTAATTTCGTAAAATTTTAAAAATGTCAAAATGTTTCAATTTTAATAATAAATAAATTATAGATTATAGTCATTTTCACTTTTTTAGCGTATAAACGTATATAACGTATAAATGTTGCATTTTGAAGAATTAAATTGTTTTTTTAAGACATTAATGAAGAAGTGCGGCATCAGGTACTTCTATACTGAGGATATGCGGTGTATCCGGGCTGATGCGGTGTATCCGGGCTGATTGTTGGATGGTGTGTTGGTCGAGTCGATTTTTGAATGCATTGATTGAAGTCGCATGAACTGTTTCGGGTGGCAGCTCGTTTCAGCCGTTGGCGATTGAGCGTGAAGAAATGAAATTGTTCGGAGCAGTTTGTCACTAGCTGTTTATCTAGACAAAGGTGGTGGCTGCGTAGATTTTAGTAGGAAATTGAGGGCGCAGAAACTTGTGAGGTGAATAAGTTGACCTTTTCGATTCCGTGTGTAATTTTATATTGTTGAATAAGGTCTCCACGTTTCCTTCTTGCTTCTAAAGTTATTAAGCCGAGTGTACGGAACCTTTCTGCGTAGGGAAGATGTTTTAGTTTGTTTAATGCTTGGTCGCTCTGTGTTGTATTTTATTTTATTTTTTTATTTATTTACACTTTTGCCGATAAAAAAAAATTTACAGTCGTAACTTATAAAAAAAAATAATTACATGACCGGGGCTAGAAGAAGACAAATTTAGTCTTATCATTAAGCCCCAATTAGTCTTATCATTAAGCCCCAAATTTGCTCGAGTCGTTTTATGTTGCTTTGACAATGAGGAGACCATGCCTGGACTACAAACTCAAGATGTGGACGCATGTAAGTAGTGTACAAAACTTTCCAGAGCTGTTTTCCTCGGCTTCTAAATGACTTTTTGAGTTTTCCCAGCATCATATTGGCTCTAATTGCTGCGTATTCGACTTGCTTGTTGACTTTGAGATCGTCTGATATCAGTACTCCGAGATCTCTTTATGTAGTGGTGACTTCGAGTTGGTGTCGAGAGCCGTCTGCTTTAACCATGGTGTAGTTGTGCATTAATTTGTTGCTTTTTTTTCCTGCGTGCATTACTTTGCATTTGTTGATGTTGAAAAGCATGAGCCACTTTTCGGACCATTTAACCGCCTTGTCGACGTCGTTTTGTAGGGAAGCAGCGTCATCGTTTGTTTTGATAAGGCTCATGATTTTGATGTTGTCTACGTATATTTTGGTGTAGTGAGCAATGTTGTCAGGGAGGTTGTTAACGTAGAGGAGAAATAGTAGAAGACCGAGTACAGAGTTTTGTGTTACACCGCTTGTAACGCTTTTCCAGTCGGATTCGCGGTCTCCAATTACTAACACGTTTTTGTCTGTTGGCTAGCCAGGCTTTGATCCAAAAAAAGCCTGGCTAGCCAACAGGTAAAGATGTTTCTTGCTTCCAGTTGGTTTGTGACGCATCCTTTTTTGCTCATAAAACCATGTTGTGCCCTGGTTATGAGGCCATGCTGGTTGCAGAAATGCATAATTTGATCGTGTATGATGCTTTAAAGGATTTTGAAGGGTACTGCTGTTAGTGATAACGGTCAATAGTTAAAAGCTTTGCGTCTGCTCTCTTTCTTGATGATGGGCGTGACGTTTGAGCGGCGCCAGAGGCTCGGAACTATGCTGTCTTTAAGCGACTTGCGGTAGACGAACGTAAGCCGTGTGACAAAGGCTGTTGCGCTGTTTTTTGAGACCCTTGAGAGGAAACCGTTGATATCCATCAATTTGGACTCAACTAGGCTTTCGAGTCTGCGTTGGACTTCATGCGACATGAACAAGTGTACGTGATGTACGACTCGTTCATGTCACATACGGCGTCAACTCGTTTGTCGAAAGTGGGGATTAGGTCATCTACGGGTTCAAAAGCGAAAACTGATTGAAAGTAATTATTAAGGATGCTTGCTATTACCTTTCTGCCTGTAGTGATCTGGCCATTTTCTGTAGTGATCTTGGCCCGGACGCTGTTGCTTACATTCTTGCATGAGGTCTTATATTCGATTAGGTTCGTGTCGTGTGTCCATATACCTGAAGCTCAGTTTTTAGCACAGTGGTAACGTTTTAGTTTGACTGCTTCTCGGACTTCGGGCGTGGTCTAGGGCTCTTTTTTTTCCACGTAAGGGATACGAGTAAAGGAAATAAAGCGTTTGACCGCCTCATTGTACTTTTCAATGTTTGTTGGTTATGATAAGGTCAAGCGTGTTTGTGGGCGGGTCGATTCTTGTTTTCCTAAATGTTGGAAATGTTACAACTTGGGATAGATGCAATTCTTCAAGGCAGAAGTAGAATTTCTCATCCGTAGAGTGCTCATTCTCAATGTGAGTGGTGGTTGAAACGCCTCCTCCAATGTCTGTGTCTTCGTATTTAGAATGGCGGAGATTGAAATCTCCATAGATTAGCATAGCAGTGCAGCCAAGTGAAGAAAGATTTAGCTTTGCTGTCGTGATGGACTTGATTATTTTTCTTAGTGTTTAGTCGTTGTTGTCGTGTGGTCTGTAGATGCAGCCTAGGAGAATTGATTTAGGACCGTATTTGATGATACGCCAAATTTGCTCGATTTTGTTCGAATTTAGTTGAGAGATGCTCGTACCCATTGTGGCAATGCTGTTTTTTATGTAGATGACCACGCCGCCACCTCTTTGGTCGGTGCGGTTGCTGCAGTGTAATTGGTAACCCGTGATTTGTGTGTCTGATTCGTCCGTGAACCAAGTCTCAGCATAAAATTGTAAGTCGGAAGCTTCTTTAAGGTTGCTCTGTATTTTGATTATGACTTCATCTCTTTTGTCTCCATTGAGTGAGCATGCGTTGTTGGCCCAGAATTTGAGTTGTTTGGTGTCGTTGCTTTGCAGTAGAGGAGTTGGTGGTCGGTTAACGCTGTGGTAACTGTGGTGGTACTGTGGGCTGTGGAGCTATTGATGGCTTGCTGTTGCTGTTGTTGTGGCTGTTGTTGTTAAAGTTGACTGAGGGCTGAGGCGATAAGATCCTTTTGTAGCTTGCTGATCCAGATTGACGTTTTGTTGTCGCTCGATTGTGTGACGTCGATTTTCCACCTTAACAGATTTATTGTCTACTAAAGGTACTCCCGCTTGAAGCAATTGATTTTCCTCAAAAAAAAAGTTGAAAATCGCTGGTGCCTATTCGGCACGCCTTGACCGATCCTACCTTAAAAAAAATTATTTTTGATTTTGATATAAGGAGACAAAAGTGTCTCAGTTAATCACACTTTTCATGAACTTAACTTCTCCAGGAGTTTACCGTGTATTTTCTCAAAATATAAAAAGATTTCTTCCTGTGTTTTCAACTTCTTCTAGGAAACTTCTTTTGAATAGATATTACTTATTTATGAGAGAAATGAGCATCACTGTTAACGTGGATGTTAAAAACTACCCAACTGGTAAGCGAATATAACATCCAATTACATATTAAAACAAAATTATTTTTTTCTTTTCAACAGATTGTCGTGTTGGTTTGACAAGGTTCTAACTAAAATTTTTTATATTAGGAGAATTTATTCAAAAATCTTTTAATCTTTTTCTAATGTTTTATTAAAACTATTTATATTATTGTTTTTTTTTTATTTGTTTATTTAATCTTTTTTTAGATGATGTATAAAAATACACAAATAAACAAAAAATTATCATATAAGTATTTTTATTTAGACATTAAAAAAAAAAAAAAAAAGATTTATTTGCTATTCTTCTAATATAAAAAAAATAAATTAGAACCTTGTCAAGCCAACGCGGCAAGATAAGGATATTTTACATTAAATATAAAAGTACGCATTATTGGGTTCTGCACTGATATACCACAGGTGGCCGACAAATTTACTGCTTGCTACTTTTGAAATGGATAGATTTTCATTCTGATAGCAAACTAGAACTACTTTTCAATAAATTTGGATCATTATTTAGATTATGGCCCATCAATTGATGCATTTGATCCAACGCTGCCTACTTAAAAAAAAAATCTGTTTCTGTTCTTGAAACTTTATTGGTTTGCACTAAAAACTCTGTTAAATTTTTACAAAATTTTATTGAATTTGGGGTGTCCACCTAAAATCTAAACATTGCAACATGACCCTATATGCTGAAATTTTTTTTTTTTTCAAAGTATGTCTTTGGGTCTTGAAAAAAGCAAAATTATATAAAAGTTCTAAAAAAGATTATCATTTTATAAAAAAGTATTATCATTTTGTAAAAAAATTATAATTTTAGATTTTACAATTTTAACTGAGAATAGAAAAAGTGAATTTTAACAAAATTTTTTGAATATAATTTTTTCTTCTGTTTTTTATGAAATGATTATAATTTCTAAAATTTATATATAATTTTGCTTTTATTGAGACCCAACATCACACACTTGAAAAACTCTTTCGGCATTCAGAATCATGTTGCAAATTTCAGACTTAATATGGCCTTCCTTAACAGTAAGTGACCAGGGTGGTGGCCCAGCTAAAAATGGAATATTCACAAATCTGGACTTAGCCCTGGAGAAATTATAAAATTTAATGGAAGTTGATAGCCAAATAAAAAATTATGATAGTTTATATAGAATGTAATTATAAGCAATTCCATGACACGCGTTAATGCGTTTTTAATTGAGACAACAAAAGTTTTCGGTATTAAGATTTTTAAAACAAAAAAAAAACTTCTTATAATAATGAAATAGCCTAACTGTATTATAAAAACTAAACTTTTTATAATTTTTAAAAATATTTTTGCTGATATCGCTTAAAATATGTGCATGACAGCGTGACATCAATTTGTCACGCCGTGACGCTTATAAATGTACAATAGCTTGTAAAATAAAAAGTAAGATATAAATAAAAAATTATCCTAAAGAACTATATTTAAGAAAGAAATATATTTATATATAACTAATTCTTTTTTTACAATGTTGTAAAAAGTGAATTAGTTATATTTAAATATATATATAACTAATTCAATATATTTATATATAACTAATTCAGTTATATATATATATATATATATATATATATATATATATATATATATATATATATATATATATATATATATATATATATATATATATATATATATATATAATTATATATATATAACTAATTCACTTTTTACAAGGTTGCAAGCAATCGTTATTAAGTTATGAAATACTAGAAAACAAAGGTTAGGGTTAAGGAGGAAGGAAACTGTTAACTGAAGAAAAAGTTGACTTGAAATTTGCAGGTTTTATGAGTCAGGAAAAGATTTTGTAGATGTGCAATTGTATCAAAGGACATGGTCTTTAAAGTTTTTTTAAATATTTCTTTAAATTTTTTTGCTGTTTCATCCGGATATTATTCTCGCTCTCTATGGATTGAAAAGTGTTTAAATCATTTACAGTATGATCTTGACTCTGAACTGCAGCAACTAATTCATAAGTTGCCTTGCTCATTCTCTCATTCCAAATATCTTTGCTCAATTTCTTATTCTAAATATTCTTTAATTTTATTCTTTTTCATGCCCTTAATTTTATATTTTAAATAATTTAACTTTTTTTGAAGTAAGTGCCATATCAACTGGTCCTATCATCCACAAAGTAAGTGACTATTGTAGATGTAAGGAAACAATCATAAAGAGATTTTTAATTCATGTTCAGTGAAAAAAGTCTTTTTGCTCTTGAATTTTGATTATGTTTAAAGGGATCCCAAACCTCCGAGACATGTTGTGTTCATATTATAGAGGATGAAAAAAAAAAGTTTAGGTTAAATTTTTTTGGTTGAAACAAAAGAATAAATGCATACCAAGAAAAACTAACTTTTTTATTTTAGCCAAAGCTTGCCTTCTCCATTTTGTTGTAGGCCAAAAAGTCAGCATAATATATGCTGCAATCTACAGACTTGATAATTTATTCAAGGGCGTTTTCCTAAGAGTTTCATTACATTACATCATTGATTTTTTCTCTGAAAATTAATCTATCCTTTAAAAAATTGATGTTGGAAATCCGCTTATTACTCTATATGATGGAGTAATCAAAAATTTATCCTCCGATCAGTTTTATGGGTATAAAATAGTCTCTGCTATTAGAAGTGGAAATATACCCAGTTAATCATTCCAGTTAATAATTCCAGATGGTTGACAACAGCCAACAGCTTTTGCAGAGTTTGGGTCTCAAAACATGAGTTGGAAGGCGAAAATTTAAAAAACCTTAAATTAATAATTGAGTTCATTGTTGGAGTTTACATGCCTATGTGGTTTAAAATTAAAATCAAGTACAGGTTTACTGAAGGACCAAGATATCGGCTCCAGCTCTTGCTCTGGCCGAAATCTGGCCATTTTTACAAATCCGGCTCCAGCAAAATGTTAGCAAATCCAGCATAATTATGGCCGCATTTCTGAATTTTGATCAGATTATTACATCTTTCTTGCCATGTATACTTAATATTTTATTTTTACAATTCAGTGTTTTTAGTAAGTCTATATGAACTCTATGAACTTCAGTGTTTTTAGTAATTCTATATGAAGTTTATGAACTTCATGTTTGTTTTGGTATCTATATTTACATTTTTTTACAGTTTAATTAGCTAAGCCTAATTTTAAACAACGATGCAACAAAAAATTCTGAAAGGAAGACACACGATATTCTACAATAATGCACGTGTAAAGACTATGAAGTCAATCTTAATTAAGTCATTGGATGAGCGTTTTAAAAGCATTGAGGAGACGCCATTTTATATAGTGGTGACACTGGTTGATCCATAATTTCAAACTAAACTCTTCTCATACAGGCAACACTGACAGGTGAAAAAGCAAGGTTGAAGTCAATCTGAGCATGCTAAGCAGCAAATTGATAAAACTAAAGAAAATCCAGCAAAACAAGCCCGGCTGGATAATTCTTATACATTATCATCATTACAATGGCAATATATATATAGATAAAATTATTCAGTCTACGCTCGCTTGTGGCACAGCACATGAATAACAATTACCAACAGGCATTGACACTCAGCAAAGCCAATATCTGGAAGAATCAGAAATATATAGACACGCTGATTCACTACAGTGGCGGAGTGACAACATCCCAGAAAAAAAAGTTTTATAGAATTTATTTAACTTTTTGAAACATATGGCCTATAGAAACTCTATAGAATTTATATAAAATATTTATTAATTTCTGTAAAACTTTTTAACAATAAAAATGAAGTTTAACAGAAAAAAACTGTCACTTGCTATTCTGAATAGTCAACATAGTTGACCATTTTTAGCACCATAGGGATGCACAGGATTTTGGCTCCTCTAGTGTGTTTCGAAATCCGGCTCCGATTCCGGCTGGATCTGTTATTAGAAATTCAGAAATTAAATCTTGTACAGCCCTAATTGATTCCGTGGTCAATTATCGATTGCGATTGCACCCGTTTCCCGACCAAGCCTGGTATAAAATTAATTGTGAAAATCAGAGGTCCTGGTGATGAAAAACTTCAAACTGGTGATAAAAATGTGAGAGCTATAATAACTCTAGAAATAAAACCTGATGCAACAAGGCTTATACAGCTAATCGACTGGAATATATACTATGCCTGTTCTTACTTGTGATCTGACAACAGAAAAAGTAAAACAGATAATATTTCAACCTATGATTGTTCCAAATTGGCCTTGTCATGGACATCAATTGAAAGACGAGTTAAACAGGTAACAGAAGCAGCAAGCAAAGTTTATTCTCAAGAAAAAAGAGTATTTAGTCATAATCTAAGTGAAAGCAATCTTAAAAAATTTTTGATTTTCTAAAAAAAAAATTATCTTTTATAAATGTTATAAAGTAGTTATTAGCAAGACACTGCTAAATACTTATTCATAATATCTCCTGCTTTTTTTTAAATAAAAAATTCTTAATGCATTAGCTTAATACGATATTTGACGTCGTTAAATTCTCTTTATTTTTTTATTTTTTAAAGACATAACCTTTTTAAAATTACTGCAATAATTTTATTTACTGCTAAGCAAGTTAAATGTTATTTAACAGCTTTTTTATTATTTTCTTTTATTTTTTTAAATATTAAATATTTAAATTTAATATTGCATTTTTTTAAATGTTTTATATTAATAAAATTTCATTCTTTTCTCGACATATGCATTAATGAATTAAAATAAGTTATATTTTTGAATTTTTTATGGAAAATAATCATTTCTTAAATTTCTAATTGCAGGTTTGCAACTACAAATGGTTTTTATTTTAAAATAATTAGCAAGTAACAAATAAAAAATAACCTTAATTTATTTACTTTGTTTATTTTAAGTTTATTATTTTATTATTAAGTTATATCGCTATATATATTGTTTATTAAAAAATGATCGCTGTGATTTAACTTGCGTTATAAAAAAAAAAGTTTAACTTACATTTTTGATGTAGCTGTTCATTTAAAATTTAATTTTGAGTAAAAAAAAAAAAAAATGTCAGGAAGAAAAATCCAAAAAATCAATTGCGATAAAAATAAGCTTTTTTTTAAGACTAAATAAAATTTCAATATTAAATAATATTTAGTAATATTTTGAAATAAATTTGACAGTTAAAGCCTTAACTTTAATTTTAATAAACTTAAATATATTTTTTAAATGAAAATTAAATTATATATTTTTAAAATCTAAATCAAATTATATATTTTTTTTTATCAGAATATAACTATATATTTTTATTAAATTAGTTTTAAATTAAATCATATTTTTTATCAGAATTAAATTATGTTTTTATGATCTTCGGTTGAAGCTTAAAAAATCAATCATTACAATAAAATAAAAACAAAATAAGAATAAACTTTTTATTTGAGGTTTTTTCATTAGTAAATAGCGCTTATATCAAACATAATTGTCATTCAAACTTTTGTAACAAATATTTTTATATTAGCCTCATTCAAAAGTTAATGTGACTTTTTTTAAAAATTAATTAATTCTTTTATCTTACCGCTTATTGAATAATTTAAAAGTTAAAAAATGATAAAAAGTTGCTTAACTAAAATTGCTTACTACTTATGAAAAATTGTTCAACGCGTACATAAATTGCTCTATACGTAATGCTTAAAAAAAAACCTGACATCTATTTATCCTCATAACTTGTGTATTGTTTTTATTTAACTGCATTTTTTTAAATTAACATTTTTTTTTTTTTGATTATTTTGATAGTTTCGCTGCTTACTGTTGCACACCTTCAAGAAAATGGTATTAAAGTAACGCTTGTAGAGGGAAACAGTACGTTTGTAAAACTGAGGTAAAATATGATTATTTATAGTTATTTAAAACAACAATATGTTTATGATCTCTTTTATCTATTTGTTATTTTTATATTCTATATTTTTTACAAATTTATTATATTCTGTAATTTACATTACAAGGATAAGCATAAACCTGTTTTTAATGCTGCTTGAGCAGTATTTTTTTAAGGCCCCTCCTCACAAATGAATTATTCTGTTTTTCTAAAGTAAAGTTTATATATATATATATATATATATATATATATATATATATATATATATATATATATATATATATATTAAAAATATAAAATAGTATTATGTTGCAGGTCTTGTTTTAAAGCGTTAAGCTATCGACAATTTATGTGACTTTTTATTATTTTTTAACTTTTAAATTATTCTATAAGCGGTAAGATAAAAGAAGTAACAAATTTTATAAAAAAACACATTAACTTTTTAATTACAATTAAGTAAAAAAGTTTGTTACAAAAGTTTGAATGACTTATATTAAATATAAATGCCATTTACTAATAAAAAAAATAAAAAACTATAAAAACCTAATCTCTATTAAGCTAATTATTTTATGAAAATATTTAGTAACTGAAAATAAAATTGTTTATAGTTTATGACCATATTTTTTTTGTATGCAAAATTATTAAACGAAGCTAGGGATTGCAATCCCGCACACTTTTCAATCCCGCGGGATCCGCGCGGATTTTTTAATTTATGTGCGGATCCCGCGCGGGATTAATAGATTTCTTATGCACGTTATAATTGGCAAAAATTTTACTTTTATAACAAATACCGCAAATCTGAAGATGTGCAAAAACTATTAAATGTAAAGCCATATTTAGCAACCATGCACGATACTATTTTTTCCATAGAAAGTTCTTTTACAAAAACGTGTCTATTGTTTTGACCTTTTTTACGAAAAACGTTTCTATTGTTTTGACCTTTTTTGATAGAATTACCTCTTCGTCTTTGCAGTCGATGTATATTTTAGACTCTAGTTCAACTGATTCATGCTGTTTTGAAGTTGAAGCTCCGTCTTGTTGTAAAACGTTTAAATATTTAAATCATGGATTAATAACCCTTTTGTTGATCTTTGACTAATTTTTAAAATAGCCGAACATAACATGCACTTCATATTTTCTCCTTTATTACTTTTTTAAAATAATTCCATATAGTTTTAATTTGCGACATGCTTAGTAGGTACTTTTGTTTTAAAATCTTGATGTAAATAATTTTTGAAGTCTTTTTAAAAAGTAGTGCGCTTTTTATTAATCACGTTTTCAATTTAACGTTTTCAACATACTCATCAACAAAAATTTCAACATAGTCATTAACAAAACAAAAAAAATTTGAACGAGTTTCTCAGTATACATTTCATTGTGTACTTAATGACTATTTTATGACTAATCATTAACAAAACAAAAAAAAATTTGAACGAGTTTCTCAGTATACATTTTATTGTGCATTTAATGACTAGTGAACTATTAAATGAATTTATTATGCAAATACATTAAATACTTTAATTTGATATCTTTTTCGTCTTTGTTTATAGAATTGCTTTTTTTATTTAAAAGCAATAATTTCAAAACTCAGCAAATCCTGCGGATCCCTCAGTAGTTTTTGCGGGATCTTGCATGCGCTAAAATAATGTGGGATCCTGCGGGATTGCAGGATCACGCAATGCGGGATTGCAATCCCTAAACGAAGCCTTTTTAAAAAACCATAAAAGTAATAAGATAAAAACTTTAGTTTATCATCTCACGAGCACAAGAATGTTTATACAACTTTTGATTGCAATAAAAGAAATTTGCTTGAATTTCTATTTTGTAATAAAAATTAAATTAATAATTAAAAAAATGTTAAGTTTCATTTAATCTTTATTTGATATGAAGATATTTTATATATATATTTATTGCAATGATTGATTTTTTCGCTTGTAAAGCGCTAATACTTAAATACTATAATTCTGATAAAAAATGTATGATTTATTTTAAAACTAATTTAATAGAAATATATAATTTTATTCTGTTAAAAAGTATATATAATTTTATTCTGTTAAAAAGTATATATAATTTTATTTTGTTAAAAAAAAAAATATAATTTAATTTTGATTAAAATTAAAAATATATTTAAGTTTATTAAAAAGAAAGTATGAAAAATGCAAACATGAAAAACCAAAATGCTTGGATTTAACTTAACTGTTAAATTTATTTTAAAATATTACTAAATATTGTTCAGTATTTAAATTTTATTCTTTAAAAAAAATCTCATTTTTATTGCAATCGCTTTTTCGGTATTTCTTAAAGATTTTTTTTTTCTTACTCAAAATTAAATTTTAAATAAACATGTTCCGAGGCTGAATCAAAAATTTGCATAAAACGTAAGTTAAACTTTTTTTTATGACTCAAGTTAAAGCACAGCAATTATTTTTTAATAAATGATATATACTGCGGTATAATTTTAATAGTGTTTGGACAAATAATCTTTGCTTTTCCAACAAAATCGCTGATAAAATAGTTAACTTTTAATTAATGAAGTAAATAAATTAACCTAATTTTTTTTTGTTTGTTACTAATTTTTTAAAATAAAAAATCATTTTTAGTTGCTAAGTCACAATTAGAAATTTAAGAAATAATCATTTAAAAGAATTTAACATATCATTAAAAATGTAGAGAAAAAAAAAGAAATTTGTTTATATCAAACACTTTTAAAAATGTAATATTAAATTTAATTATTTAATAATAAATATTATTTTATAATAATATAAAAATAAATGTTCCCTAACAGTAATATTAAAAAACGAGTTAAATAATATTTAACTGGTTTTGTAGTAATTTAAAAAAGTTTATGTTGTTAAAGGGACTACCAAGTCCCGAGACATGTTGTGTTCATATTAAAGAGAATGTTAAAAAAAAATGTCTGAGCAAGTTTTTTTTGATTAAAACTAATTAATAAATGTATACCAAGAAAAACCAATCTTGTTGTTTTAGTCAAAGCTCGTCTTCTCCATTTTCTGTGGTATTTTGAGTGTGTAAAATAAACGCGATTTTCCAGGCGCATTATACAGACTTGATAATTTATTCAAGCGCGCTTAATTCATAGGAGTTTTAGTGCATGATGTATTAGATTTTTTTTTTGTTTGTTTAAAACACCGATTGTTATTTTTTAAATACAATTTCCAAATCATATTCATTTTATTATATTTTAAAGTTCTAAAATGTGTTTGTAAAAAAATTAAAAACAAAATAGTATTTTATTTGCGCAACTTTTTTTAAATAATCGTCTAGACCACGTGTATTTTGATTTCTTTTGTTATAAGTTTTTCTTTTAAAATATTAGATAAAATAATTTTTAACCTAAATAATAATGCACTTTTATTAATTTACTTTGTAAATATTAAAAAAAAAAAATTATAAACGCACTTTTTCTCTGATTTTTCAAAAATGTAGTTTTTGGTATTGAGGTAATCTTATTTTATTATTTATATTTCCATTATTATAACATCCAATATATATTATGGCGGGGGCTTAAAAATTAAAAAAATAATATACATTAATTTTTATTTTACAGACATACATAGAAACATAATTAACTTGAATGTTCTTAAAACATCTTGCAGAAGAATAAAAAGAATATTCGCGAACACACCAAATTTGCGAACAAACTAATTACATTGGTTCAAAAAATATGCTGACTAAGCGAAATAAAGTTCTAGAGTATTCTGTTGAAATGTTTTAAGAATTGTATTATTTACGATTTGTTGCTTTTTGAGATATCTAGCATAAATTTTTTTAATATATTATCAAATGAACTATTACTTTAATATTATGGCTCATTCTTGGAGCCACATCTGTAAAGCCGAAATATTATAATATATGTTTTTTAAATTGTCAAAATTAATTAACTTAATTTTGACAATTTAAAAAAATTTGTATTATAAAAATATATAATTTGTAATTAACTAAAAGTTAATTGCAAATTATATATTTTATTAGTAAATTCTTAATTTTTATATCTTTTCTTAGTGCTTGGTTTAATTTATTTGTTCATTAGATTTATAAAAAACTAACGAACAATTAATAAAATAAACTTTTAATAAAATAAGTAACTATAGTTAGCTATTCTAGTAAAATTTTTAAAGAATTTCTAGAATGTTTCCAATGACGTCATGCACTAAAACTCCTATGAATTAAACGCGCTTGAATAAATTATCAAGTCTGTATAATGCGCCTGGAAAATCGCGTTTATTTTACACACTCAAAATACCGCAGAAAATGGAGAAGACGAGCTTCGACTAAAACAACAAGATTGGTTTTTCTTGGTATACATTTATTAATTAGTTTTAATCAAAAAAAATTTGCTCAGACGTTGTTTTTTTTTAACATTCTCTTTAATATGAACACAACATGTCTCAGGACTTGGTAGTCCCTTTAAAAAAAAAAAAAAGTAAACAGAAGTTTATGGGATCAAATTCATATTAGACAAATGCATTAAGCATTTCTTATTTAAAAAGGTCTGATGTTGTTATCTTTATTGTTAATTGAATTAGTTTATAATATTCAAACATTTTAATTTTTACATACAAAAAAATTTGCAGGTTTATGTATGAAAGTTCCATTATTTTATTTGAAGTCATTACAATATAAATATTATGTATAATTTTAAAAATAATGTTATAATATTTTATAGTAACTATTCTAAAAAAAATTGTGTAATTTGGTATTAAAAAAGACTTTAATAATATAGTATTTCCTTAATATGCTGACTGACAAAAATTGAAAAAAAAATTGAATGCCAAAAAATGTTTTTTCTTTTGTTATATTATGCTTTTTTCCTCAACTTTTCATTTTTATTTTTTTATTCTGATTCACTCTCAACATTTTTCTTTTTTTTAATTTTCAATTTTGTTTTTAGTTTATTTAGATATTCCATTTTGTATTGTATTTGTTTCCTTTCTTCTAGTATCTTATAGTTCTTTTATTCTCTGTAGTTTCTTTTAGCTTTATTTTGTAAATTCTCAAAACACTTACTATATAAAAACATGGTCAAGTTGTCTAAAAAAATTATTTTAAGCATGAGTTTTAAAATTTAATTTTGATAAAATTGTTTTTTGTAATATTTCATGTAGTTTAAGTTGCTGCATATGATACTTAATACGTTTTTTTAAAACAATACAGACAAGCACACTTTTAAATAAAAAAATAAGTATTCTGGATGAGGAATATGAGGAGCATTTTTAATAGGATACATACAAGAAAGAAAATTTAGCAGTTTTGGAAAAAAAATTTAACCTTAGGTCTTCAAAATGTTGTAAAAACACGCATATATAAATGTTTAATCCTGAAAATGTAAATAAAGAAAAAGCTTCTTCACAGTTGTGTGTGTGTTTTTGTGTGTGAGTATATATACATATATATATATATATATATATATATATATATATATATATATATATATATATATATATATATATATATATATATATATATATATATATATATATATTTGTATAGTTTGTCACTTACGGGGACAGATTTTACAAAAAACGAACATTTGCAGGGACATTATTAGCATTGTTGGGGACATTTTAGTGTATCAGTTAATTTTTTGTCCCCGTAAGCATTTTTTTTTTGTAAAAAAAATGTACCTATAAGAAACTTGTAGAGAACGAAAAGTACATACATCAACTATCAAATAGCCTGACTCGCAAGGGAGTGCTGCTACATCGACTGAGGGTTTAGTTATTTGGTTAGGCTAGGCATCAAGGTCAGGCTTTAGGTTAGGGTTACGGCAAGGTTTAAATTTGGTTATATTATTGTAATTAATTGTTTTTGTAAATAGATGAAGTAAAAAATAAATAAATAAAAAAATAGCAAAAATCAATATAAAAAATATATTTTTATAATAAAATAATAAATTTAAATATGCATAAATACAAATAGAAATAAAACAAAAGTTAAAAAAATATAAAAATAAAAATAGTATAAAAAAGTGAAAAAAAAACAATATATATATATATATATATATATATATATATATATATATATATATATATATATATATATATATATATATATATATATATATATATTATATATATATTTATTTATTTATGTATGTATATATACATATACACATTGTAAATTTTCAGCAATTCAAGTATTGAAGGGGATACATCAGTTGCAAAATATTTAGCTCGCTTATATCCTAATGAGAATTTGTATGGATCATCTGTTCTGGAAAAATCTCAGGTAATTTTTTGTTTATTTGTTACTAAAAGAATTTAATGTTATGATTTTTTTTTAATCGTTTAGTTTTTTATATGGATTTTATTTTGTTGGGAAATGGGTTTTGGGATTAAGTAGTAAAGAGAAATAACAAAATTAAAATAATAAGATTGTAAAAATTAAATTTTTTTTTTTAAACAAATTTATTTTTATGGTATTTAAAAAAAAAGGTTTTAAATTTTGTTTTTATTGGGCTTATCATCTGACCTACTTTTGGTTTGTAATTTTAGTTAAATAAGAGTTGTTCCTCACTAATTAAAATATTTATAATTTGTAATACAAAGAGTATAGAGTTGAGTTTTGCATTTTTACAAAAGACATAGCTAACCTTTACAAGGTAAATTTGGGGAATTAATGTTTCATATTTTGTATAATACTCTCCAAAATTATTAAATTGCAAATTTATTTTATAACATTAAATTATTATATCTAATTATGCAAAAATTGCTACATTAAGCAGAAATGTCTGTATTTTCCATGCTACATACAAGGACCATCTGCATTTAAAGACCATGTGATAATAGTTGTATTAGTTGTAATAAAATGTGATAATGGCTGTAGTAGTTCATAAAATATAACTGTGTTTATTATGTATATAATTTATATTTTATGTTAATTTATGTTTTATTTTACTTTTGTATATATATATTTTTTTTAAAGGTTGATAGCTGGATTGATTTTAGTCATCTTTACCTAAGAAGTCCAGAAGGTATTAATGATCCTCTCAATGAGCTAAACAAATGTTTAGAACCAGCTACTCATCTTGTAGGACATTCATTTACTCTTGCAGACTTTGCTGTTTGGGCTTCATTGAAAGGTATATTTTATATATTTATGTTTGTTTTTATATATTTTTTTTAAATGTAGATTTGATTGTTTTAAAAATTTGATTGAAAGTTACATAGAACTCAATTATTTAGATTTTTCTATAAAAATTAACAATTGAAACTTGATTGAAAAATTATATTATTCAGGCTTGGTCGGGAAGTGGGAGAGATCGCTCTTGAATACTAACCACAGAAATTATATTTAGTTGCGAAAAACTGGCCAGGTTTTTTAGTTATTTTGAGAACATTTAAGTTTATGTAAGTTTAAACAAAAAATTTTTGTTTTATGGACATACATGGAAACATAAAAAACTTGAATGTTCTCAAAACATCTTGGTGCGAAAGAATAAAAAGAATATTGGCGAACACTAAAAACCCGCCAAATTAACGAACAAACTAATTCTATTGGTTCAAAAAATACGCTGACTAAGCGAAATAAAGTTCTAGAGTATTCTGTTGAAATGTTTTAGAAATTATATTATTTACAATTCGTTACATTTTTGGATTTCTAGCATAAATTGTTTAAAAAATATATATTATTTGTTTACAAAATGTTTTAAATATATATTAATTAAATTGTCAAAATTTTATTATAAATTATAGATTTTATTAGTATATTCTTATTTTTTATTTAAAAAGTATGTATTCTTTATGTAAATGTAATTTTGTGTATCTGTTTTTTATCGTAATGTATCTTTTAAAGCAATTTTTATGATTTAAACAAAGACTTACAAAAATTATTACGTTTTCAATAAAGTTATAATCATTAAAGTTACTAAAACTAGTGTAACAAACATATAAAAAAGTTTCTGATTACTAAACACAAACAACGCATACAAAGTAACTTGTGGATGAACAAGCACCTGAGGTCACGACAGAACACAAATATATATATAGCAAATAATTAGATATAAATAAAAGTTTCTAGATATTGGTTTACTAACTCTAATTATTTTTGCTTAAGTTGCCATTCTTAAAACTCGTTATACTTTTTTCTGCTTTAAATACTAATACTAAAGTTAAAAAGCCCACTCACTAAACATCATCAGCGATATTGTGAAGCAGTTTCGCTTCCTCGTCATAAAGTATTTTTAACTTTTTTAGTTGATTTCTATCTTGTTAATTTATTTACTCTAGTAATTCAATGATTTAATTATTTCATTTGTTTATCTTACTAAAAACAATTGCTTCAAATATGTTAAACTTTTCAAACTAGGCGAAACATAAAATAGGTATTAAAAAATTTAACTTTTTTATTTATAAAATAATTTAGCTTAAATAAAACTAAAACTTGCAAACTTTGTTAAATAAAAAATATTTATTTCTTTTTTAGACAATCGTAAGATGTTACTTTATAAAAAAAAATATTGCTTAATTTTATAAAAAAATTATAAAAGAGCGATGTTTCAAAAATATTTGTTCTAAACCTAATTTATTTAGCTTTAATTTTTTTTTGTGTTTAAAGATATTTTTTTTTTGCCTAATTTTTTTTTTTTTTTAAATTAAGCGACAAAGTAACATCTTACGATTGTTTAAAAAGGAAATAAATGTTCTTTATTTAACAAAGTTTGCAAGTTTTAGTTTTATTTAAGCTAAATTATCTTATAAATAAAAAAATTTATTTTTTTTAATACCTATTTTATGTTTCGCCTAGTTTGAAAAGTTTAACATATTTGAAACAATTCTTCTTAGTAAGATAAACAAATGAAATAATTAAATCATTGAACTACTATAGAAATTAAATTAACTAGATAGAAATCAACTAAAATGGTTAAAAATACTTTATGATGAGGAAGCGAAACTGCTTCACAATATCGCTGATGATGTTTAGTGAGTGAGCTTTTTAACTTTAATTAGTATTTAAAGCAGAAAAAAGCATAACGAGTTTTTAAGAATAGTAACTTAGACGAAAATAATTAGAGTTAGTAAACCAATATCTAGAAACTTTATACCTAATAACTTGTATATATATTTGTGTTCTGTCGTGACCTCAGGCGCAGTGCTTGTTCATCCGTGAGTTACTTTGTATGCATTGTTTGTAACAAGTAACCAGAGACTTCTTATATGTTTGTTACATAATTAGTTTTATTAACTTTAATGATTATTAATAACTTCATTGCAAAAAGGCAATTATTTTTGTAAGTCTTTATTTACAAATTAAATTTACAAAATTGCTTTAAAAGATTACATTACAATAAAAAACAGAGAACATAAAAAACAGACAAAATTACATTTACATGAAAAATACATACTTTTTAAATAAAAAATAAGAATATACTAAAATCTATAATTTATAATAAATTTTCAAAATTTTGACAATTTAAATAATATATATTTCAAGCATTTATTTTTGTAAACAAATAATAATAGTTTATATAATTTACGGCTTTGCAGATGTGGCTCCAAGAATGGGCCATAGTATTAGATGACATATTCTTAAATCTCAAAACCTAACAAATCGTGAATAATACAATTTCTAAAACATTTCAACAGAATACTCTTGAACTTTATTTCGCTTAGTCAGCATATTTTTTGGATAAATAGGGTTAGTTTGTTTGTTAATTTGGCAGGTTTTTAGTGTTCGCGAATATTCTTTTTATTCTTCCATACCAACATGTTTTAAGAACATTCAAGTTTATTATGTTTCCATGTATGTCCATAAAACAAAAATTTTTGTTTCGTACAAACTTAAATGTGCTCAAAACAAATAAAAAATCTGGCCAGTCATATTCGTAACTAAATATAATTTAGTTGGTCAGTATTCTAGAGCGATCGCTACCGCTTCCCAACCAAGCCTGTGCTAAACAACACTTTTTCTCATTTTAATTTTCAATTGAAATATTTTTGAAAAAAATGATTTTTTACTGCATTAACAGAAATTTCTTTAAATTTTTAATAGCTAATATTCAAATTTTAATTTTGTTTAATTGAAATTATTCAAAAAAAATATTCAAATGTTATTTTCATTTAATTAAAATTAAATTTATAACTACAGTTTTAAAAAATTAAATTAAATTTTAAAAACATTTACAACTATGTTCATAAATTATGAAAAGTTTTTTTTATTTTGTCTAAAAAGATTTTATATTTTTGGATACTTATTTCAAAAAATTAGTAAAAAAAAATAATCCAAATCTCAAAGAAAAAAACACAGAACCAAAGATAGAACCTTGTTCTACCCCAGAAGTTTCAGGGACTGGAATGACTTTAATATTCTAGTTAAAAGGAATTGATTCACAAATTTTCAAAAATTGTCTCCATATGGCGAGAGCTTATAAATGAAAAAACCAGAGAAAAAAAAAACCCAGCATATCAAGGAAAATAGCTCTTGATACGTCAAGAAAAGTAGTCCTTGCCCCCCACGTTTTCTTCTAATGCACAACAGAACCTTTTATTTGTGAAGGTTAACAATTAGTTATTAATTTGATTGTAATACAATTTATCTTGCAATGCATTTTAATCAAAAATCTAACATGTTTTTACAAAGAAACATATTTATTTAGCAGTTGACTTCAACATAAATTTAACAAATAACCTCACAAGAAGCATGTTTTTTAGTTTTACTATATTGATTTAATCTGATAAAAATAAAAATTCTTGTAAATTTTCTTTTTGTTTTTCATATTTGGAAATATTATAAAATATATTTTTGCTACAGCATTGTTTTTGTTGTATTATACAAGTTTTAAGGAATATTAACAATGAGGTAATAATAGTTAAATTGATAATTAATCATAAAATATGTTAATAACCAATATTTTTAATGTTTTCTATCAATTTTTATTATAAAAATAGAGTTGCTTCTAAAAATAAAACTTGTTGAAAACCTCTGATTTATTAAAAAATGTCATTATTTTTAAAAACATTCATGTTTTGAAAAAAAAAAGACAGTGTTATTTATAAAGGCAAAAATGATGAAGCAAAGTATGATTGTGACACCATACTGGCATTTAAAAAAATCTTTTACTACTTTAAGCCTTGGTTTGAATAGCCAGCTATAGCCTGTGCTTAGACCAGCACTCCTTTAAGTCAGACTGGCACACTATAAAGTCAGACACTTCATTAAGTCAGAACAGCACTCATTTAAGTCAGTTTACACCAGCAATATATGACTAGAATTTGTAGATACATAGAATCAATTTAAATAAGTTTTTTAAATTGTATATTATAAAATTTAATAGTATTAAAATATATTTTTGTGTTTGATAAATTTACTAATTATAAAAAGGTTTATGCTCTAACTTTTTTCAAATCTTAAATGACAGACTGTATTTATTGAATAAAACTGCAGTTGTGTCAAAAGATGTTTCAAACATCTTTTTGTATTTATAATTACTGTAGAATGAGGGAAAGCAAACAATAGTTTAACTTTGAATTAATCAGTTTAATACTTTGGTTTATTTTTCGGTTATATTTCTTTAAATAATGTCTTTAGAAAACAATAAACATATATTAGAAGTTTATTAATTTAAGAAAATAATAAATTTCAAACCATTTTATTGTTTTTAAAAAACATTTAAAAGTAGGCTTTTAAAGGCAGCTAAAAGTAATTTAATCATAATTATAGGAAAGAAAATATGTTCTATAAAATATTTTTAAAAAATGTTTTAAAGAAAAAATTTATATTTTGTTTAAAATACTTAATTCTTTTTTTTAATTACTTTTTTTTATATTTGCAAACATTTGTACTTCTGTTTATTTTTTATTTTTTTCATTTGCTAAATAAATTTTATGTGTGTTTTAAAACACATTAGGTTTATTGTGTTCTCAGCTCTAACAACAACCCAGTTAGTATTTTCAATATAGTTACTTTTCTCTTTATTATATTATATTATATTATACTTATATATTATTTTACTTATTATATTACTTATTATATTACTTATTATATTACTTATTATTATTATTATATTACTATTATATTACTTATTATATTATATTATATTATACTATATTATAACACGTTTTAGTGAAAATCTTTCTAAAAATTATGTTAAAAAGAGCACAGTAACAGTTATTGACAGGAAAGGTGTGTGGTTGCACAATATTCCTAGCCATGCGTTTAATTTGTTTTTACGACAACTTGACTACAGTTTTTTATACTTTTGAAAATGTTTCAAAATTTGCGCTGAAATAAAGTAATAAAGCGAGAAGTTACTTTTAATGATTGTAATGACTATGAAACTTTTATTTAAATTATCAAAAGATATTATGTAGTTAAAAATTTTATTTTTATGATGACTGTAAATGTTTTTAAAACAATATGTACAATTAGTTTTATAAACAGCAGCGAAAACATTGTTTCAATAAACTTGTTGATAAAAACGTAAATTTAATAGTTCAAACATTACTAAGTTATTTTTTATAATGGTTTGAAACTTTCTAATGAAATGTTTTTACGCTACGTTAAGCACTTTTAAATTAAGTTTTAAACATTATAAATAAGTTCATTGAATATTATTCTATGAATTCATTGAAATTTTTAATTCATTTCAAAAATAATTTTTGAATGATAAAAGTAAATGTTATAAAACAATTTTTTGATTAATTTTATCGACAATGATAACAATGACGTGTTTCAATACACTTTTTTTTTTAATTCTTAAAGTTAATATAGTTAAAAACGTAACAAGGTTTTTTTTGTTGTTTTGTTAACTTACTAATTAAATGTTTTTATACTGCCTTAGTAGTATAAAAATACTTAATTAAAAATTTTCTGTCTACAACTGCAATAATATAGATATGGGAATAAATCAATAACATAGTTGTTAAAAGTAGAGAAAGTAAAGTACCAAACTTGTATAAAAAATTTTTTTTTAGGTAATTCTACTTGGGAATCTATGTTCAAAAAACGTTACCTTCATGTTTTACGTTGGTTTGAATACTGTTCAAATCAGAAAATATTCAAATTTGTAATGGATAATAAAACTAAAAATCCTACTTCCATTGAAAATGTAAAAGATGTAAAAAAAGTGAGTAATAATTTAAATAATTTTATTATAGTTTTTCTAATTATTTTGTAGAAAAAGGTTTTTTTGATTTTTTTTTTTTTTTTTTTTTTTTACCTAACTATTCGCCAATGCCGACCTAACTATTTAACAATGTCGATCTGAAAGTATTTGAGATCAGCAAAAATTTGCCGACCTCGTCTATATCTTATATATATATATAATCTATATATATATATATATCTATACCTATCTATCTATATATATATATATATATATATATATATATATATATATATATATATATATATATATATATATATATATATATATATATATATATATATATATATATATATATATATATATACACACACATATACATATATACATATACATACACATGCATTTTTTTTTTTATTAGTTTACAAGGCTTAAAAAAGTTTAACAACTTTAAAATAGTTTTTTTTTAATTGATAGAGTGCCTGTCCAAACCAAACTCTCAGTTGATGTAGCAACTCTCCTAACATGTTTTATCTATTTGTTAGTCTATGTAGCAGCAATCCTCGTGTGTTTTTAAGTCAGTTTATGTAGCAACACTATTTGCATGTTCTACCTATTTGTCAATTAATATATGTAAATAATAATAAAAAAAATAAAACATTCAAAAAAAATTTTAAAAATAAAATCATTTTGTATGTTTTAAAAACATTCTAGTCTATTATTTGCGCTTTTGCAGTTTTTTAAGAAAGGATATAATTTAATTACTTTACTCAATTAAATTTTATGGTTTTGACATAATCTGTACTTAATTTTGTCTTGTTAAAACACAAAGAGTAATTTAGAGCCTTTTTTTTTATCACAAACTGTAAATTTAGATGTCAAACTATCTATCTAATATATATATATATATATATATATATATATATATATATATATATATATATATATATATATATATATATATATATATATATATATATATTTAAGCAAAGCCCATAATCATAAAAGAATGCTCAATATTAAAAAATAACTTTAAAATATTTTAAATATATATATATATATATATATATATATATATATATATATATATATATATATATATATTCTATTGCTTACTCCATAAGCTAAAACAAGTTTCAAAGAAGTTGATTCTTTTTTTGATATAAATTTTGCATTTTTTTTATGATAAAATATGACATAATTTTTACAAGTATTGTTAAAATAATGATGCACATCCTAGTGGGAATATTGGATGCAGAAAAAAAAGTACACCTACCAATTACATTTTTAAAGCCACCATAGCTTATACAGTTACAATCTAAATTTCGAAAATATTTTGTTGATATCTTTCGAAATAAAAGGGGGGTTAAATGAGTGGGTTCTGGATTTTTGGCATTCAAGATAGCTAACTTTTAGAGATGGATCAAACTTGAAATTTTGTAATGTCAATACTGGATTCATAAAATGTTTTTCAGAAAATTACAGTGGTTGGAACCTGGGAATAAGCCTAACCTTAAAGTTTGAATCCCTGGAAATATGTATTTGTACAGTTTTAAAAAAAATCTGTTTTTTTAAATACAATTTTTAACATTTTTGGGTTGGAGAAAGATTGGCTCTGATCACTTTAATACAAAAATAAAATTTTGATTATTTGTTAAGGGTTTTAGGGATATTTTACATAACAAATTCATAATAAATGTTTGATATTTTACTTGAATTCAGTGTTTGATATTGAGTCAGTTTGGTATTTTACTTTTGCTAACTAACTATTCACTTTTATATAAATTCAATATCTATATACAATAAATAAAATAAAAAATTATAAAATAAATATATTCATTCAGTAAGATTTTTTGAAAAAATGTGAGTTGTTTGTAACAATAGCTTTAAAAAGATTTTTAGAATATTTTTTTTTGAAAGCTGGATACATTGTAACTGTTTTTCCCTGGTCTGTCTAAAATTAAAAGGAATAGATTTAGAGGCTTGTTTGCTCCAAATTTTTTTCTCATTATTTTATAGCAAAATAATTTGCTAAATAAAATAACTTGAAAACTCTTTAAAATAAAAAATTAATTTTAACTAAATTTTTAATAGTATATTTTATATAATATATATATATATATATATATATATATATATATATATATATATATATATATATATATATATATTTGGGTGGCAGTACCCCCTCATTTCAGCGGACTTTAGCGGAAAATCAACATTATTTTTGAGAAAAAACAATATTTGCCAATATGTAATAAAAAAAAAATAAGAAAAGGTCCTGAAATTTTATTTTGAGTGGCGCCCAAATATGGTAAAAGCTGTTGAAAACAGTCTAGATAAGCTCCTGATATATATATATATATATATATATATATATATATATATATATATATATATATATATATATATTCAATTTTGAGTTTTTGTTCGTAATAAGTGACCAGGGCCCCAGTCCCGGCTAAAAATGAGACTTGCAAATCCAGCCCCGGCAAAATTATAAGATTTAGAGGTTGATAGCCGGGGTTAAAAATAGATTTATAATTCTTTATGTATTATAATTTTGTACTTACATTTACTATTTATTAAATTCTGGCATATATTTATGCTAGTATTTAATAAATATGGATATATATAGTAAAAGGATGCAACTTGTTAAATAAGAAGCCAAGCAAGTATGAGTTTTGGTTTATTGTAATAGAGATGATAGCTTGTTTGAGCATTGACCATAATTAGAGAAACAGCATAAAAGATTATGGCTAAAGCCTGATGATGTCATCATCAGCAGATGATGATGATGATGATGATGATGATGATGATGATGATGATGATGATGATGATGATGATGATGATGATGATGATGATGATGATGATGATGATGATGATGATGATGGTAATGACTATGATCATGATGATGATGGCAATAATGATGATGATAATCATAATAATAATGATTATGATGATGACGATTATGATGATGATCATGATGATGATAATCATGTTGATCATAATGATGTTTATAAACGCATATATACAATATCAAACATAAATTTTGAAGAAAAAAAAGTACTTTAGAATGTATAAATGTTTATGCAGCCCAGGTCATAAACCCGGTCCCAGCCCTAGCTCTATTATATCAAACCTTGCTCCGGTAGAATATCAACAAAGGTTGTTTACTAGTTATTCGTAATAATTCAATTATATTTAATTTTTTAAGGCAACAGGTTTAAAGACTACAATGGAAGAAGGAGGAAAGTTTTTTGATTTACCAGGAGCAGAAAAAGGAAAAGTTGTTGTTCGTTTTCCTCCTGAAGCTAGTGGGTTAGTATTATTTTACATGTAAAAATTTTAAATGTAAAGTAGTTATTTGATATTTAATTCTGTTAAAAAATTTATTATATAAATGTTTATTCAATAAAAGTTTTTTCTTTCAGGTATTTACATATAGGGCATGCGAAAGCTGCGCTGATGAATCAGTATTATAAAGAACTTTATGATGGAAAACTTATAATGAGATTTGATGATACAAATCCAGCAAAGGAAAATGCTCATTTCGAAGAGGTAAGTATATAATTTATTACTTAAAATACATTAGAAATTGGGTAATGTATATTAAACAATGGAAAACAGTCTAATTCATTATTATCATTTATTTAGCGTTCTTGTTTATAGTCTTGCACAAGTTGGAGGTTTCTTTTAAGCATCTTATTTAACTAAAAAAAATTTATCATTTGTAATGCACTTTCTTAAAGTTTTTTTTCTTTCTTTAACCCTAAAACTGCTTTCTTTTTTCTTCTGAAACTGCTTTTTCTTTACATGATAATATCCAATAGGTTGGATTAAAAATAAAAGTGTGAATTTCATTACAATACTCTAAAACTTATTTGCTAATCCATGTATAAAATAGAGAGCAGTTGTAATAAATAAAAATGCTTTACCGGAAGTGCCCCTTTTTAGATTTGAAAGTTTGCATGCCAAAGCTGTTTTGCATAACTAATAATATTACTGCACTGCATATCCTTAACTTTGTCTAAATTTAAACAAACCAATTTGTTTGCTAGCTTTTAGTTTTAGTTAATGAATGATTTGATCTGATTATTTGATATTATGGCTACACGACAGCTGACTAGACATATTCTGTGAACAGCAGACACGATATTTGGTGGACACTATGATCTGCCTCAAAATGTTCTACCAAATAACCTTCAAGTTACAAGGAGATTTTTACAACTGAAAAAAAGGCAAAATGGTTGTAACAAAGAGATATACAAAATTATTGCTCAAGATGTTTAGGACAACGATTTTAACTTTGCAGGTTCAATCTGTAGTGAAATGTGTTGATGGCTTAATTATTACTTGAGCAGAGCTGTGTTCTACAAAATCCAGTTCTAAATGTAATCTAATTAATAATTCTAATTAATAAGTTCCACCTAGTAAATGACTAGGTGGAACTTATTAATTAGGTTAATGTATCCAACCCACCAGTCACTATGAGCCTGTCAAATGAAGAAATTAGTCAGTTCAGAAAAATGCCAATTTCTGTTAAATACCCATAATTTTTTTTTTGTGAAATATGTTTTAAACAATATGGGATCACTGAACATTATTGAGACAACTGAAAGATTTTAATTATAAAATCGCTAAATTATGAAATAGTATATATTTTGGAAAGTATAAATTTTTTAAATATATATTTATTTATTTTTGTATGGTGACATAAGATTCAGTTGCATGCCATAGTAAAGGATAAGTTGGTTTTTGTGTTGACATCAATAAATGGTGACCTTTTGAAGGCTGTTAAGATATAGATTAAAAACAACTTATTACACAGCTCTCTTGTTTTGTTACAATTATTTGAAAGCCATTATAAAATGAAATCTGTAAATAATTTTTAATAAATGCTCAATTAGTCGCCAATCATTTTCTTTTTTGAACTTAAGTATCTTTTGATTTTAAAACCGATTATCAGGTTTTTTAACAACATTTTATATAATACTTAGTGTTTCTTATTTTTATATACATTTTATAATTTTTATGTGCTTCTTTGATTAATCGAAAATCGTTGTTTTGTTTTTTATTTGTTTAAAACAAGACAAAAAAAAAGTATTATGTTTTTCTAGTTTAAAGATGTTTATTTATCAAATTCCTTTTTGCAAAAATTTATTTGTTCATTGTTTAAGAGGAAATTAATTTCATCTCATATAAAGGAATTATATCTCTTATTAATTAAGTTCTGTTGAATGTTTACACAAAAATCCTAATGTTCTAATGTTCTATTTCATTAACTAACTTAGTAAATCTTCATTTATTTTTTGGGATTATTATTTTTTTAAATTTATTTAATTAAAAACTGCAATATTTATATTTTTTCTGTTGTTAATTTTCTTTCAGATTATCCTAGAAGATATCAAGTTGTTGCAACTAACGCCAGATCATTATTCGAGAACATCCGATCATTTTGATGTTATGTTAAAATATGCTGATCAAATGATTAAACAAGGAGATGCATACTGTGACAATACTGTTGCTGAAGAAGTGAAAAGACTGCGAGAAGAAAGACTTCCATCCCCAAATAGAAATTTGTGTAAGCTTGATTATTTTTTTAAATATGTATCAGGCTTGGTTGGGAAGCAGGAGTGATCACTCTCGAATACTGACCTCGGAAATAATATTTAGTTGCGAAAAACTGGCCAGGTTTTTTGGTCGTTTTGAGAACATATAAGTTTATAAACGGAACAAAAAAATTTTGTTTTACGGACATACATGGAAACATAATAAACTTGAATGTTCTCAAAACATCTTGGTGCGGAAAAATAAAAAGAATATTCGCAAACACTAAAAACCTGCCAAATTAACGAACAAACTAATTCTATAGTTCAAAAAATACGCTGACGTAGCGAAATAAAGTTCTAGAGTATTTTGTTGAAATGTTTTAGAAATTTTTAAAGCAATTTTTATGATTTACAATTGTAAACAAAGACTTACAAAAAAAATTGCGTTTTTAATGAAGTTATTAACAATCATTAAAGTTAATAAAACTAATTATGTAACATACATATAAGAAGTTTCAAGTTACTAAACACAAACAATGCATTCAAAGTAACTCGCAGATAAACAAGCACCGCGCTTGAGGTTACGACAGAACACATTTATATAGCAAGTTATTAGATATAAAAAAAAGTTTCTAGATATTAGTTTACTAACTCTAATTTTTTTGCTTAAGTTGCCATTCTTAAAAACTCTTTATACTTTTTTCTGCTTTAATTACTAATTAAAATTAAAAAGCCCACTCACTAAATATCATCAGCGTTATTGTGAAGCAGTCTTGCTTCATCGTATTTTTAAGCTCTTTAAGTAAGTATTTTTAACCTACATAAGTATTTTTAACCTATTTAGTTGAACGTAACTATTTTTAACCTTTTTAGTTGATTTCTATCTAGTTAATTTAATTTCTGTAGTAATTCAATGATTTAATTATTTCATTTGTTTATCTTACTAAGAAGAATTATTTTAAATATGTTAAACTTTTTAAACTAAGCGAAGCATAAAATAGGTATTAAAAAAATTAACTTTATTTATAAAATAATTTAGCTTAGATGAAATTGCATTTTTTTCATTAGAATCTTGTTAGATTTTTAAGGGCCAGGGGCTATTTTTATTTTGGATGCCTTTGTATGTGCCACAGCATAAAAATGACCAAACAGAAAGGTCTTCTTGACTTTTTGGGGGCCCTAACATTGCGGGACCCAGGACTATATCCCCCTCTAAACCCAACCCTCCTTAATCTAGCACTGGAAATAAGACACAAGTATATAAATATTATATTACACTCTTTGTTAAATAAAGAACATTTGTTTCCTTTTTAAACAATCATAAGATTACTTTATATAAACTTCGCTTAATTTTATAAAAAATTATAAAAGAGGGATGTTTTGAAAATATTTGTTCTAAACGTAATTTATTTTACTTTAAGTTTTTTTGCGTTAAAAGATATTTTATTTTTTTTTTTTTTTTTTTCTTTTTTTTTTTTTTTTTTTTTTTAATGTTATTGTCTCTTATCGGTCCAATTAATTATTTGCGCTTTTTTTTTTTTTGCTTTTTGAAATGTTCTCAAAACGACTAAAAATCTGGCCAGCTTTTCGCAACTAAATATTTCTGTGGTCAGCAAGCGAGAGCGATCGCTCCCGCTTCCCGACCGAGCCTGATATATACAGCCCTCAGAATTAGTGTTGGCATTTGGCAATGTTAACCTAAAATTATTTAAAGTCAGCAAAAAATTGTTGATCTTGTTTCTATATTTTACGATAAAACCTTTGTCAATATATTTGTTGACCTGAAGCTGACCTTTAATAGTTTAAGTTTGGCAAAAAAAAAAAGCCTAATTCCGAGGACTGTATATAGTATTCCCCATTGAACATGTCAGGCACAAATTTAAAGAGGAATGTTTTAAGCAAAATACTTCATAAACTTTTAGAACCCTAAATGTTGAAATTTAAAAAAATTAGTTAAGAGTTTAAAAAAAAGTGTGAAAGAAAATTTTCAACATAGTTCTTGTGCTTTTTAGTATCATGTTATATATCTATGTTATGTATCTGGATATAATTTAGTATATGATTGTAAATTTTATTGGTTATTTCAGCTGCTTTTTGTCATAAACTATCAGCATAAACTATTCGATAAGATTTCTGAATTTTTTTCTTAGCACTTTTATGTTTTATGGATTTCTGTTTTATAGGATTTATGGATTTATGTTTTATAAGATTTCTGAATTTTTTTTCAAAACTGTAAGTTTGATTTGATGAGTTTTTTTGAAGCCTACAGAGCCTCCTGAACAGTGGATTTGTTGGTTTTTATCTTTAGAAAAAATGTCGATTATTTTTTTTACCTCACTTTACTTTTTACATCTTTTAATTTTCTTTTGAGGCAAAGAGATTTATGTTTGACTTCCACTTCGGCTCAATTGCTGTGGCAATATTTAATAATATTGTCAACATAATTTTATTAATAATAGAAATACAAATTTTTTTAAATTTGTTTATCTATATTTTTGTCTGTCTATTAATTTATTTTCAGTTTTCTATTTTCTTCATCAAGGAGTTTAAGTTTTGATATTGATTTCTTGATGTTGAAATTTCATGACATGAAAGTTTGGGATATTTATTTCAAGATTATTTTTAAGAAAAAGATGAAAATAAAAATATTGAGAGATGTAAAAATTCTTGTTTAGCTATTGATGAGAATCTTGAGTTATTTAAAGAAATGATAGCTGGTTCTGAGAAAGGTTTAACTTATTGCCTTCGTGCTAAAATTGACTACAAATCTGACAATGGCTGCTTGCGCGATCCTGTAATGTACAGATGCAGAACAGAAGAACATTTAGTACATGGAAATAAATATGTGTATGTTGATCATTTTGATTTTTTTTAATTATTTTTTATACCTTATTATTATATAATGTTGTTATGTTTTATAAAATTAATCAAGAAAAAATGTATTAGAACTAATTTTTAATTTAGTGTTTACCCTACATATGATTTTGCATGTCCAATTGTTGATAGTCTTGAAGGTGTAACACATGCATTAAGAACTTCAGAATATTTGGACAGAGATTCTCAATATTATTGGTTCATTGATAAACTAGGTTATTTTTTTTATAAAAAAAAAAAACAATGTTTATTATCTTAACATATGGTAGTAAAGTTATTTAAAAATTTTCTTCAAATATGATAATATAAACAGTATCTGGTTCTTGTTGTTCATTTTTAGGATTGAGAAAACCTTACATATATTCTTACAGTAGACTTGCATTAGTTAACACAGTTCTCTCCAAGCGAAAACTTACCTACTTGGTAGATGAAGGATTTGTAGATGGGTGGGATGATCCACGCTTTCCTACTGTAAGAGGAATCTTAAGAAGAGGGATGTCTGTTCAGGGATTAAAAGAATTTATTGTTGCTCAAGTAAATACTTTTTATTAGCTATAACTAGTAATAACTTTACAATGTTTTGAAAATATAAAAACTTCTAAAAGTTAAAATTTGTGGCTATTTACTACATAAGGGGTCACAAGATTTTTTATTAGTATTTATAGTAGTAGTAATTTTAAATAGTATTGAATTAGATTTTGTTACTTATTAGTAACCAATAAATGTTGCTTATTCCATGCCATAACACAAAATGTTTTCTAGCATTTTAATTTTTTTATCTTAATAATGTTATTTCAACTTAAATCTAAAAGTTGCGATTTCAATAGGGTTCATCAAAATCAAATGTTCACATGGAATGGGATAAAATTTGGGCTTTCAACAAAAAAGTAATTGATCCAATAGCTCCGCGTTTTAATGCTCTGCTGAAGAGTGATGTAGTTCCTGTTATTGTTAATGGTGCTACTGAGTCATCTGCAGAATATCCTAAGCATCCTAAGGTCGTTTTTAACACTTAAAACTTTTTTTTTTTATTCTTTTTTTTTTTACTTTGAATGAAAGTAGAATATAAAATTTATTATTATAGAATGATGAAGTTGGTAAAAAACAAGTTTACTACTCTAGCAAAGTTTATATTGAGGGAGAGGATGCCAACCTAATGAAGGAAAATGAACTTGTCACATTTATCAATTGGGGAAACCTTCGTATCACCAAAGTTAACAAAGAGGGTGAAAAAGTTAAATCTATTGAAGCTAATCTTGAGTTAGAAAATAAAGACTTCAAAAAAACAGCTAAAATTACTTGGCTTGCTGAACACAGCAAAGCACCATTTATTCCCACTCAATGCTTATTCTTTGATAATATTATTGATAAAGATTTAACAAGAGATGATGACTTCAAAGAACACATTAGCAAAAATACAAAGGTATTTTTTATAATTTTTTTATTTTATTTGTTGGTATGTGTGTGTTTTCTTGAAATCATTTAGTGGGAAAAAATTGTTTAGTGGAAGTTTTTTTTATAATTAAGTTTTTTTATAAAATGTTTTTTGTTTGTACTTGTAGAATTGTAGAAAACAAAAAAAAATGTTTTTTTTAGCATGTTTATGAAATGATGGGTGATCCATGTTTATCTACTATCAAAAAAGGGGACATTATTCAACTTCAAAGACGTGGGTTTTTTATTTGTGATGAGCCCTACCAGTCTGCAAGGTAATTTTTTTTTATTATTAGGTTTTAGCAAAATTGTTTTAGACCAATTTTATTAGTATTTATATGATTTAAAAAATATTTTTTGTTAGTTGTCACTCAGGTCTTGAAACTCCTTGCAAACTGTTTCATATACCTGATGGAAGTTCTTCTGGGATGATGAATCAAGGTAAAGACAAAGCAAATGCTAGTTCATCTTCATCAAGGGAAAAATCTGTACGCTATTTTTAAATTATTAATATAAGTTCACTGATATACAAGTTAAATAATTTTGAATTAAAAATCATATATTTTAGTTATTATAAAATGGTATTTATTTTACATATTATAAAGTGATATTTAATAATAATAACCATGTTATTGTTAACATGGTTATAACATTCTATTATTAAGTGTTTTTATTGTTAAGTTAATAAAAGGCATATTTTGTAATTTTTTGAAATTAATAGATATCTTTTATTTTGTTGTGAACAAAATAAAAGATATCTAAAAAAAACAAAGCTATAAAAATTGTAAAAGTTTGGTTGAAATTTTTTTTTCATCTTCTTACTCTTTTCTGCAAACACTGATCAATAAGTTAATTGTTTTTAGATTTGCTCATCTATGCATGACTTCTCTTGTGTGAAAAAAAAAAAAAATTTGAAATGTTTTTAAAATAATGTTATTTGGAAATAAGTTTGTTTATAATAATTTTTATGTTTTATTATATATATATATATATATATATATATATATATATATATATATATATATATATATATATATATATATATATAATATATATATATATATATATATATATATATATATTGTTTAAATTCAAATATTCTTATATATAATATTTATTATTCTTATTAAATTTGAAAACAATTGAACTTATTTGAAAATAAGTTTCTTTGTAATTATTTTTATATTTTGTTTGTTTACTGTATATATGCATGTGTGTGTGTGTGTGTGTGTTTGTGTTTGTATATATATTAACTCAAATATTCTTATATGTGATACTACCCAATAGTCTTGATTTTATTTCTTTAAATTCTTCATTTAGTCTTCCAGTAAAAAGCAAGTAAAACAAGAGCCAAAAGAGCAAAAAACTCTTGTTAACAAAGAGAATCAGTTGAAAGAACAAACATCTCAAGCTTTGTTTGACTCTGTAACTGCTCAAGGAGAAAAAATTAGAAAATTAAAAAGTGATAAAGCTTCAAAGGTATTTACAATTTTTTCTTTTAAATATTTTTCAAACAGCTACATAATATTATAAAATAAAGGAACATTTTACAAGTTTTTTGATAACTGAAATTATAAAAATGATTTATGTTCGGAATTAAAAAAAAATAATGAAAATATTTTT